AAAATAAACAACCTAAATAGACTAAACAGCAGCATCCTCGCCCTCCAAAGCCTGCTCCAGAGGAACCTCATCTCCCTCTGCTCACATCCATCAGATGATCATTGCAAAAGAAAAACACCACACATACAAAATACAAACACAAGCAGAAGGGTAAACTAAATATACGATAAAACATACAGTTTAATAGCACATAACATACACAAGTTAAATCAAGCAAAGTAACTAAATAAAACATCCTAGCATGTTATGTTCTAGACTTGACTTGTCTGGACTTAGAATAATTGCCGAGCTATGGCGGGTCATGCACTCGTGGTGGCCTCTATTGCTTTGCAAAGCCATTGTCAATGAGTTTCACCCTATCATACTCACGAGGTTAGTCTGTTCCGGGCCTTGAGGCATACTGGAAGCCCCCAAGACTAAGACCTTCTGCTACTCCTCATGACATGGTTCAATCCTCTCTACTTGAGAATGAAAGACCATTGGAGTTTCAGGATAACCTCTAAGACTGAGCTTCTGCATTCATTCTAAACACCATGGAATCTCACCAAGAGATTCTACACTGAAGCTTACATTCCTCACTTTGATTCACATACTTTTACTTGGAACATGACTCATAATCATATTAAATCATATACCATATTTCATACATCAGACAAGCTTTACAATGTATTACAATTCATTCAGGTTCAGTGAATACAAGAAAGAAAAAGGTGAACAATAACCTGGACCATTCACACAACGCACACATTTGCAGATCGAATCCAAAGGTTTCTCGAAAAGCGACCCAACTCATTGTGCGAATCCTCAGATAGAGACCCACCTCTCATAACCATTCGCACATCGATTAAATTTGCTGTGCGAATAAAGTCTTAATTGTATCGGACCCTGACCCCTCGCATAGTGCCCCAATTTGTTATTCAAATAAAAATGGCAGTAGTCCCAAACCCCAACTAGGCGCATAGCGCCCTGATTCGCCATGCGAATCATCAGACAGAGAGCAAACATCTCAAACCATTCGCACAACACACCAATTCGCTGTGCGAATGCCCTAGCAGAGAGCATCTCGCCAGGGAAACTCGTTGTGCGAATCTATTCGATCAGCGAGTCTGCATAATTTACAGAACAAAAATCTGCAGAATTATGCAACTCATACCCCAATTACCAATTTTATATATTTTTCCCAACTTCTAAGAGTCCTATATTGTGTTATATACCTAATTATACTGGACTAAGTGATTGTAAACCTTCCTAACATCAATATAAAGTGTTTAAGGATTAATTCCTACTCTAGAATATCAAATTTACCAACTTAGGGACCGAAATCACAATCTACCACTTTGAACATGTTTTTGACCATTTTGATGACTCAAACAAGTCACATTTGACTTACGCAAATTGTCCCAACAAACCAATTGAGCTCTCAACTCCAATTTCTCATTTTCACTACCTCACTTCCTCTAATTAGCTTTAAACTAAGACCACTTATTTTGATTCATAACCATTCACTACTAACACAGATTTAACACTTCTCAAGCATCTAAAACAGTCCAAATATCATCCAATTTATAATAAAATATTTGGTCTCATTATTTTAATACTCCTATCTATTATAATATTCTACTTTCTAGGTCCTTACAAACCGCAATGATTTTTTTAATAAAAGTAGTGTAATTTTTTTAATCAAATTTATTAATGTAGTAAATGATTTTTTTTAACTTTTTATGTTTTCGTAAACTTAATCACATATTTTTAATTTTGAGATATTTTTTAATAATTTAATTGGTGAATTAAATACATTTTTTTAATTTCTTTTACTTTTTTAAAATTCTTTTGTTTTTTTAATTTGAAATAAAAATACTTTTTATTTTTAAATTTTTAGTTTATATATATATATATATATATATTACTTAAAATAAATATAATATTATTTTATATTTTTAGATATTTTTAATAATTTTTTTATCCTGTTAAATTAAAATATACATTTCATTTTTTTAATAAAGAAATTTTATAAATAGAATTTTAATAATAAATTTATCGTGTTTTAGAATTAGTATGTTAAAATAATGAGATTCGATTATTTTAATATTCAAAAGTCTAAATTATAAACATAGTATTTATAAAAGAGTTTCATTATTTAAAACCACACATTTTTTCTATGTCGCAACCAGAATCGCGATGGGACAACGATCCAAAAAAAAAAAGCGTTAGAAAAAGAGATTTGGAGTCGTCACCATAGTTTATTTTGAAAAACTACGGGAAAACCATAAAGAAAGGCTTGGTCCGCAAAAACCAAATTCTAGGTTCGGAAGTCGGTTACGCATAGGGAAGGTATTAGCACCCTATCGCGCCTGCCCGAAGGTAGTACCTTTAATTAGATGCGCAAAAATGATGTGGTTTACAAAATGTTTAACTATCCCCGAAAAACAACAATCTAAATAAACAAAATATATTTTTTAATTTTTTGGGTCCGTCAAGGATTGACCTTGCTCCTACGTATTCTCATTAAAATGAGAAATCAGGGTTACGTAGTTCTTTTGAAGATCTGTTTGAGAATATTTGTTTGGGAAATTACTTAAGAAATTTGTTTGGGAATTTGTTTGGAAAATTTGTTTGGAAATGACTATGAATAATTTTGGATTTTTGGGAAGTGAACCTGACAAGGACTAGCCTTGCTCCTACGTATCTCCATGTTTGATGGAGAATCAAGGATCACGTAGTTCTGGCTGAGAGATTGTTTGTTTGTAAATGTATATGTTTTTAGTTTTTGAAGACTTTATATTTTTTGGTATTTAAAAAAAAAAAGCAGGTAATGGGATTTTAATCCAACACAAAAGAGAAAACCAACGACAAAGATGAAAACCAAATTGAGGATTTTAATTAGAATGCATCGATGGTAGTGGAGGCTTCTTCTTCCTAGGCAGCGAAGTTCTTGCGATAGTGGTGCCCTTGTCGTAGTGGTTGGCCAATCTAGAGCTCGTGGTGGTCTCTCTATCACTCGATCTAGTTCATCTTTTGTAGTGAAGGTGAGATGAATCTTTGTCGTAATGGGTTGCCTCTTTTGAAGTTTAAGTTGGTCTGGCTCATAGTGTATCTCTATGACATCAATGATTTTAAGATTCAGTATGGTTTCTATTGCATCTCGTTAGTGGTTAGCAACGGGAGCACTTCTGGTTCACAAAATAAAGTTACCCACGGGAGAGAGAGATAATGTGGTGGCTCGTGGAGAAAGAAATAATGGGCAGGAAATTTGATGTCCTCTTTATCGACGAATTTTATCGATAAAAAATTTGTCAGTAAAACAAATTTCATTTATCAACAAAAAAATTTGTTGATAATGAAATATGTATTACCAACAAAAAAATTCAGCGATAAAATAAAATGTATATTACCAATAGATTTATCGACAAATTTTTATCGATAGATTTTACCGACGAGATAAACTCATTAGTAAAATCCGTCGATATTTTAAATTTACTAAAAGGTTTATTTTTTTGATAAAATTTCATCGGTAATTCCAATAATATTTGTAATGTGGTAGGGTAGCAACCTTTTTTTTTATGACTATAGAGCTTAAATATCACTACAAGTGTACTCCGATTTTGAAGTCTTATATGTCAAAGACATGTATCCGGATAATTGAGTGTAGAGTTAACTGTTTGTGTGAATATATGACTTGTTGTACGTTATACATGTTTAGTTTATAAATTGGTATATTATGATTAAATTAAGCCAAATCATTTGCACATTAGCTTATCTTTTTACTCTTTTGTGTTTTGTTGTGTTTTTGTGATGATCATTTCATGGTGTGAGCAAATATTGAAGTAGGTGATGATACATTTATGATGGAAGACGTGAAAGCAACAAAATAGTTTTTATAATTTTCTTTTATTATTTTGTATTTCTTTCTTTTTGAAAAACTAATGTAATTTTCAATGAAGGTGTATATATTATATTATTATAATTATTATGATAGATAATTGTATTAATATTTTATATATTTCTAACTATTTATTTTGTTTTATTAATTTTATAATATTTTATTTAATAACTTTTATAATAGGATGTTACAATGAAATTGAAAAATAACAAATTTTAAAGAGTAAAAGAAATTAAAATACTAGTTTTAATTCATTAAGTAAATTATTAAAAAATACCTGAAAATAAATAATATATAAAATATATGATTGTATAAAAATTTAAGAAAACGTGAAAAAATTTTAAAAATTCATTCATCACATAATTAAAAATAGTTTAAATTAAAAAAATAAGTTTATATAAAAATTTTAAAAATATGAAAAGTATAAACTTTAAAAGAGGAAAAGATTATAAGAAATAACAAAAAATCGTGTGGTAACAGCAGGATATCCATAAATTAAAAGAAAGAAGAAAATTATAATCGTGACAATAAAATGGAAGTCATTAGTAAGAAAGACGACTTTTATGTAAAAGTAATAATCGTATTTTTGAAATACGAATTCATCAGTTATGCTTGAAAAACAAGACTTTACCCATTAAATAATTTTTTTTTAAAATCTACCTATATTAATGAGTTTGATAAAAGAAATTACACTACTTTCGTAAAAAAAATCAACCGCAATCCTTCAAAGATCGAGCTTTGAAGATGTAAGTCCTCCGTATAGTTGACGAAGCTGATCGGCAGAATATACCACTACCCTCGTAACATAAAACCTAGAAAGCTTATATAATAGCTTATTTTATTTTTAGCAAAAAATAATATATAAATATGATATTTACGGTTCATGTAACAAAGTCTTTTGGTCGAATGAAATAAACATTCTAAAAATTCTACTAACAAATTTAAAAATTACATAATTTCCTTTCGATTTTATATTTTTTAAACATTTTAGCCTAATTATTGCTTACTTATCTTAACCGATTCACAAATTATCTAACTTTGACATATACTCTCAAATCATAAAAGTGGAATACAATGAGACTCAAAAGTGGCTTAATTGAGAGAATTATATATCCACAGGCTAGAAAGTGATGAAAACACATACAGTAGAAGAAGTTTAACAAAGGAAGCATATAATAGGAAAAATAAGGTTTGACAAAACCATGTCAGTTGATAAACACATATTACAGAAAAGATCAAACATTGTTCCTAACCGAGGAAGACCCTTTGTCTTCTTCCTTATTGACGAGAGCAAGAGCACGAGATTTGGCTATGAAGAACCCCGAGGTGTGGCCGATCACAGCAGCTATGAATATTCCCCCATTGAATGACATGACAGCAAGCATCACCATGTAAACGAAGCTGATGCGAAAAAACTGAACAAAACCTTGCATGAGTGCTCCCACAAGGGGACTTGTCCCTGGTTTAATGAGTGGTTGGTTTGATAAAACCTCAATAGCCATGGCTAACAAAAGCACAAATATGATGGCCAAGATGTACATGCCAACACTGTTACCAGGCCAACCATGGAAAAGCACTGTGGCATCTTTGCCCCAGTAGAAACTCATCTGCATCATGTAATGCTGCATATTGCTTGTGCCATTAGGCATTAGAGGCATGTCTCCCCCTGGAGACATATCCATCTTACTCATACTGATAAAGAAGAGAGAGAGAGAGATGCAAGGATTTCTTGGTGGATTGACCCTGCTATTATAGAAAAGAGTGGCCAATGAAAGTTAACGCTGTGATGAAACCTGAGAGTCACGGAAATGTTTTTCTTGTATTTTAGGTTCTTTCGTTGCCTACTATTTTGTTCTTTTCTCATCGTCTTCTGTGAGGGGTGTCACGTTAGTCGGTTTCTTCAACCCTCCATAGAAACCAGTTTTAACACAAAAATTAAAATATGTTCTCATTTGTAACGATTAATTTAATAGCATAAGTTCTCTGTCCTGCTTCTTTCTTTCTGTCTGTCACAAGAAGATGTCTTTTATTTTAAAATTTTTAATCAAAATTACTAGAATTTTACTAATTATATCTTTACAGAAAGAAGAGGATGAGATAAAAATATATATGAATGTAAAAAAAAAACAGAAAACATGAGACGAGGGATATACTAAAAAAATATAAATATAATAATTTTCTTTTTCTTCGTCGTATTATTGTATTACTGTAACCTCAAACAATAAATTAAATATAAAAAAGTAAATAAGTTGGCTGTAGATAGTGAAATCTTGGTTACATCGGAGACGAGGAAAAAGTCGAAAGTCTCCCGGAAGATTGAGTAACAAATATGATATTGTTTGTGCTAAGAGTAAAATGTAGGTTTAATAGTCAATTTAGTCCTCACTTTGGTTGAAAAATCTCAATTTAGTCCCTCCTTATAAAAGTGTTTTGAATTAGTCCTAACTTTTAAAATAGTGGGTCAGATTGGTCCTTTCTGTTAAATATAAGTTAACAAAATTAATGGATGATGATGTGACACAACTTAAAGCTAACGAGGGACCAATCTAACACATCAGCTTTAAGCTGTGTCACATCATCATCCATTAATTTCGTTAACTTATATTTAACGAAAGGGACCAATCTGACCCACTATTTTAAAAGTTAGGACTAATTTAAAACATTTTTATAACGAAGGACTAAATTGAGATTTTTCAACCAAAGTGGGGACTAAATTGGCTATTAAACCTAAAATGTAATTTCATAATCACTTTAGTTCTGAATGAACGTGGGTTGTCTTAACTTCAATAAATAATTTCAACTTGTCTGGAAAAAAAATCTAAATAATATTGTTTAAAACAATTAATTGATGTAATTTGAAAATAATTTCAGCTGATATTAACTAAAAAGAATCTTGAACTTATTTGAAAAACATAATTAATATTGATTAAGAAATTTATGATTAATGTTGGTTAAAAACAAATTCTCACTTAGCATACAATAAATATCTAATGATGTTAATTAAAAAATAAACACGATTAGCTTTAGTTTAAAAGAGTTATTGAATAAAAACAATACTGAGATTTATAACATTCCAATATTACCTAAATCAATAACCTATCGATCTTTTTCAAGTCGATAACAACTCAACTAAGATCAAATTGATGAAAGAATACAAATAACGTGAATTTGAAAAATATGAAAAAAATTTAAATTGTTATCCCTTTGACTATAATTTATTTATTTTTTTAATTTTAAGTATCCCAATTAGTCTTATAAAATACTAAAATTTTAAAATATTTCGAAATTACCTAAAAAAATTATTTTGTCATTAAAAAATTAAAATAATCTAAAAAAATGAATGGCCTCTTAAAATTTTCCATCCTAAAACGTGTTTATAATAAATTTATCAAAAAATGTGAATTAGTCAAGTCAAAAGTTTGTTAATTCTGCTGTATTTCTCAAATGCTTTCTCCTTTCATGTATATAAACTTCTGTGATTATCAATAATATGTGAGGTATAATTAAGTGTATGTGCTTTGCTGTGGATGTGCTGTGCTGTTTTTTACAGTTTCATTGATTAACAAAAAAAAAAAGTGGGGAGTGAGAAGATAAAAAAATGAGTATGAATAACCTGAGCTGATAAATGCTTCTTTTTTTCTCTACACAGGCCTTTCAGCAGCCCAACCCAATTTGTATTCCGTTTACATGGTCGAACTCAACCCCAATCATTCCCTGCACTTACTTTATCGTTTTAATACTTCCTTTCTTTTCAAAGTTGCTGGTTCACTGATTCATCATTATAATTTATATTTTAAATTTAATTTATTTAATATAAATTTAATATAATAAATTTAGTAATCACTTCTTAATACATGGATGTGTAGAATATGCACTTTTTTTTTCTTATTGCGTACGTTAAGTATTTTATGTTTTTTTTCTTTCTCATAGACATTATTACGAAAATTTACTCTATTTTAATTTTGGAATACTTTATAAAATTATTGACTCTTCATAAAAATGTTCTTGTTATTCCTAAAACAAATTGTGTTATTCTACATTATCATTTATGGGAATGAATTATGTATGGTTTTGTGAACGATCAAAATCGTACTCAAAACATTTTAGAGTTTAATACTCACCTTGTTAAGAAAAAAAAAACCCAAAATTAAAGAAATTTCTATAAATTAAAAAATAAACCTACTTTTAGTATACATCGACGTGTCTTTCTTGATCTTAACACTATAAAGATTATTTTAAACGGTAGTGCTTGTCAAGTTAAGGACTAGGGTTTAATGAACTCTAGATTTGTAGTTCATCATTTCTTAGGCACTTATCCTCATCGTGTTTATACAATTATATATAGTGAAGATAAATGTTTTTTTCTTTTTTTATAAATTGGGTATTGAATTGTAATGGATTGTTAATATGTTGTGATAGTAAGCTAATTTTAGAAGCGATTTAAAATTGACAATAAATGGTATAATAAATAATAAAAATCTAGAAAGTTATTTTAAAAATGCTTTGAATATATTACAAATTTTATTCCATATTGTATTATTAAAATTAATATAATATTAGTTGTTGATATATGAAAGGATCTTTATTTGAACTAGGATGAAAATATGAGATGAGTGCAGGCTGGTTCACTAGTCCATATAAAAAACGTGGAGCAAATTTAAGTATTTTAATCCGTTTGTTTGTTTAAATTCTGCACTTGTAACTCGATCAGGCCAATAATAAGAGGTAACAGTTTGTATAAAACATGCATTATGTTTGATGCCGAAGTGTACACTTTCATAAATTACCTTAACTCCTTTGTACAGAATGTTTTTGAGTCCTCTAAATGTCTCATAAACTATCTATCTTTAATCCGGTAGAGTCCAAATACGAGCTAGGGTACCTCCAAAGATATTCCCATCTCAAGTTTTAGGTTACCGGTTATCACAATTCAATCTTAAATATATAATAAATACAATCACTTACTACTTACCTCTTTACCTTACCTCTATATTTATAGATTTCTATGTGGATCTTTGATTAGTGTAGGCCCAATCAATATTTAATCATGGTCCAATATTTCTTAATTATGTCTTCATCTTTCTAATCAGGAGATTGATCTATAACGCATGGACCGTTCGGCTAATGATGTATTATTTATCGATCGATCTGTACAGTACACATTATATTACAACCTGTAAGTTAGAAATAAATCTTTTATTTATTTTTGATATTTTGTTATTCACTTTTTAAATCTTATAAGTTGGTTGTATTTTATGCGGGTATAATTAGTTAATTATTATATATATTTTTTTAGTTTAGTCAATAATTTATTTTATACTTTTATTTATTTATTAAAAGTTTAACTTTAATATTGTTAATTACAACAACTTATAAATCCATAGATAAATAATTATGTAGGTTAATCTGACTTGTTTTTGCAAACTAAATATAAGATGGCAAACAAATTGCAATTATTACTAAGCCTTTATATAATAAGATCTACTTAATTTAATATTAAAAGTTTTACTGTATAAATAGAATTTCAGTTAACGAATTTCATTATCTAAAAACATATTATTTCTCTAAAACATATTCTTTAAGAGTTTTATACCCTCCCTCTAAGTCCTCTAACTTATAATTCATATGTTTAAAGATTAGAGAGTGCTTGAATGATCATTGAGGTAAGATCTTCAAGTCTGTTATATCAATTTTTGTAGAAGAGTAAGTTAGTTTATGATCTTTTCTTTAGTTTGTTCGTTTCTCCATATGCATATGAGTAGTTGTTCCTTGTTTGTGTCATCTGAGTCTTTCATAAGACTCTTTGTTGATCAATGATACTATCAATATTTCTTGATCATGATTCTTGTGTTTGTAGGAATCTATAGAGTTTCTCGAGTAGTGAGATTTGTTTTAGGTTCCTTAGAGTAGTTTAGTCTTCTAACAGGTAAGAGAAGCTAAATACATTTGTTTCAAGTTTTAATGTTATGAGAATTATGTGTGCATGTTTGATGGTTTGTGATTGATTGAAATTGTTGTTTAGTTGATTGATCTTCTGTTGAAATGTGTTTGGAATAATATGATTGTGTGTTGTTTAAATTGCTTAAAATTGGTTGGAATTGATGTTGAGTTGATGGATTAATCCAGCTAGTTGAGCAAATTGTTGTTCATTGTGACATTCAAACATGTTTTTAAACTAGGCAATAAGTCACAAATACTAATTTGGTCATCTGAATAGGTCTTTAGTTATCAGATCACAATTTATAATGTTGAAGATTTCTTATAGGTGCTCAACACCAGTTTTCACCATTGACCGACCAATATAAGAATGGTCTGACAATGACAGCATACCACTAAGCATCAGTGACCAATGTAGGACTAGTACCAACTTGCTTTCTTATTTTTTTTAGCAATGAGTGGGTCTTGCTGAGCGAGAAAAAGTGCAAGAGCTCTACATTGAGCGATCTCTTTTGCAAGAGCTTTTGTGTTGTTAGCGTAAATTTGGGTACTAGTGTGTTTTTCTGTGATTTTTTTATCCTTGATTATTTGAAGTGTTTCTCTAGATGCTGCTATTCATGTTTAATGTGAAATTTGTGATGCCTCGTGGATTATATTATGATTGTATGCATGAATTAAGTATGGTGTGAAAGAAATTTCAAGGAGAAGTTCTTGTAATGGTTTCAAGTAGTGTATATATTGCTAAAAGGGTTTCGTATTGCGATTTATCCTAATGCTCTAATAATCTTCAAATTTCAAGTAAAGAAGGGTAAAATATATGATGAAAGGAATAAAAGATTCTAGTCCAGGGGCTTTATCTTGGCCAAGTTTTATCTTCGCCAAAGATAGTTGACAAACCAACCTTCTGTGTGGTAGCTTAAGTGGACAAGCTGTTTCACCCTTGGAAGTGCATAAGTCCCAAAGACTAATATCATTACATACATCCGGATAATCAAGTCTAGAATGAATAATTGTAT